GCCTTTGGCTCAGGTCATGATCTCAGGGTCCTGGAATGGAGTATAGTCTTCAGTTGGGCTCACTTCTCCCTGTTCAGTGGGGAGTCTGCTTCTCCCTTTCCCTCTTGCCCTCCTCCCCCCACCACATACTCTCTCTCTCAAATAAATAAATATATTAATAAAATTTTTTTAAAAAGAACATGGGATTGCAGTACACAAATATACACGAATATTGAATCGTTGTGTTGTACCCCTGAAACTAATATAATGTTGTATGTCAATTATACTTCACTAAAAAGAAAGCATGAAAGAGCTAAGAGGTTCACTTATTTTGCATAAGAAGTTTTAGAAATCCTTTCTATATAAAACCGATTTATAGATATGTTAAAACCAAGACAAATAAGAACATGGGACTGTAAATACAGACTGGCTGGATGTGAATCTAGCTCTGCCACTTGTTGGCTCTGTTGGCCTTGGGCAATTTGCTCAATTGACTGTGTTTCAGTTTCTCCATCTGTAAAATGGGGCTGATAATGATAGCTATCCCATAATGTTGTTATGGGGAGAAAATGAGTCAAGATTTAAAAAGTACTTAGTGTCTGGTACTATCATAGTGATGTCTATACACATGTTTTGAATACTGGCACTGGTTATACTGACAGATAGTAACTATCACTACCAAGTTCCAAATGATCATCATGTTGAGCCAATTTTACCTTTCAGATGTTTCTGGAACCTTTATTCCCCCCTCCTTCACTGGCTCCACTGTCCTAGCTTAGGCACAGCAAACTGCTTGCAGCTCTCCAGGCCTTGCTGCTCTTTTCTATTGCAATCCTCTGGCTCTCATGGCACCTCCTCCCTTGGCTATCTCTTGTGTGTTTTCCTCCGCTGTTTATCCTCAGACTACAAACTCCTTAAGAGGAGAAACTAAAGAATAAAAACAAGAAATCAAAGAGCAGAAACTGCCATTCTTCCTAAATCATCAGCTGGTAGGACAATGCATGCCACAAAGGAAATACTCAACAAATGTTTGTGGAATTAATGGAGGCTTGCTGTGGCCCAGGCACTCTGGAGTGGTTTACAGGGGGATTGTTTTTCAATACGACCCAAAACTCTGTGTAATAGTAAGTACAATTTTTATCCCCATTTTACAAATAAAAACTGAGTCTTGGAAAGTTTAAATAACCTGCCCCCCCCAAAAAACATCTATCTATATTCATATGGCTATGCTATTCCTTGGGGGATAATCTGCAGTTTATAATGGTGTGTAGGAACAAAGGATGCCAGAAAGCCACAACTGATCTCACCTGATGCACAAAGAGATGATATTCAATTCATCCGTTAAAAAGAGCTGTCGCCTGGGGCACCTGGATGGCTCAGTGGGTTGGGCCTCTGCCTTCGGCTCGGGTCGTGATCTCGGGGTCCTGGAATCGAGCCCCGCATCAGGCTCTCTGCTCAGCAGTGAGCCTGCTTCCTCCTCTCTCTGCCTGCCTCTCTGCCTACTTGTGATCTCTCTCTCTCTCTCTCTCTCTCTCTCTCTGTTAAAAAAAAAAGAGCTGTCACTTTATTTTTATGTGGTTTGCTCTTAAATTGCAATATTTTTTTCCTTTAGATAATTTGTAATCTTCTATCATTAATTTGGCTCTTTCTTACAATGATAAGGTGATCTGCCAGTTTATTGGATGCTGCACTTTAATCCCATCATATGATATATGTCAGGAGCTTTGGTTAGTATCTTATCCATACATTTCTCACTTCAAAAAGTCTTTCGTGACCAACTACATTTGTGGAAGGTTGTCTACGTCATTGAAGGCATGTTACTCTAGGACATGTAGGGAACGCTTTACAGATTAGTAACAGTACTGGTGGCAGCAGCTCCCATTTATTGAGCACCTACCAGGTACCGGGCGTACTGTTAGGAGTTTGATTTGCATGATTCCAACAAAGCCCCATGCAACCTCTTCTGCTGTTTTCTTTCACAGATGGGGAAACTGGGACTCAGACAAGTTTAACTCACTTTCTTCAGGTCACTCGGGCTCTTGCATAGTGGAACCTGGACTGACATCTAGATGAGTACGTCTCTAAAGCCTGGGCTTTTATCCCAAGCTGGATTCTGGAGGCTGTCCAAGTCTCTTAACCCTCTCTGAGATTCAGTTTCCTCATCTGTAAAACTGAGGGAAATTAACACAGTTCCTAGGGTTGCTAGGAAGATTAGAATAGGTGCCCCCGGCCCAGAGGCATTTAAACCACGGTGGCCATGTTTATGCATAAGTGGACCATTAAATGGGCAGAGGAAGACCTGAGATCCCTTTAAAGGCATTGGGGATCTGCAGAGGAGGGATCTACAGCTTTGGCAGTCTGAAGAGCTGGCCCTCTCCCCTCCAGAATACAGTGACCCAGTGAAACTCACAGCGACAGGAGAGGGGGCAGGGGCCTGAATTTGGCTCCAGCAACCTCTGCAGGGAGTCAGAAGAGGCAGAGAGCTGGGAAGGGCATAGAAATCCGGGTCGTCAGAGGACTTCAGGTGTCAGGCAGAGTTGGGGTAGGTGGGCTTCCAGAGCCTGGCGGAGGGCGGGGAGGAGGTTGGAGCGGACCAGAAAGCAGGCGGGGGAGAGAGAGAGGCGGGGCGCGGAGCCCTAGAGGCTGGCCTTAGACCGCTCTTTTCAGGCCCGGCAGTTTGCTGCATCTGGGGGAGCTCACTGGAGAATCTCCAACTGCCGAGCGGGCCTTCAACTACCGTAAGTACCTGCAAATGAGCGCATTGCCCAGTGGCTGAAGATTAAATACTATCCCTCAGATCCTAAACAAAACCCCGAAATAGTCTCCCTGCTGTAACTAATTGCAGCAAATCAAACTGCTCTCCAGTCTATTCCTCCCTTTCTCCGTCCCTCCACGGATCCAGCATTGCCTCGCTAAGAATCTCTGGGCACCGTAAATACCTTCCCTTTTCCTTCTCAGTCTTCCCTCCAAACCCCCAGCGAAGCATGTACCTGGCACCCTGCCGAGCCCAACCCCTTTGATTCTTGGAGCCCTCAGAGCTATGCAGGGGGCGAGCCATTAGACATTTCGGGTATGTCACCCTCAAAAGCACTGCGGCGCTGCCTAGGGGTGGGGAAAGTGCTTGGGGTGGAGTAGAAGGGGAGGGTAAAAAGACTAGACTATGGAAGTTGGCGGTGGGGGTGGGGTTGTGAAAGGCCCCAAATGGGCGTGTCCAATTAACCTGAAGCTTGCTGTTGTTTCCCACATTCCCTGGGCATAAGATTCATCTTTTGGGCTGGAGGTAAATGGTACGGTTTCCTTAGTGATTGGAGAGGGGTTAGCCATGCTGAGAAGCCCCCTTCCCTCCTTCCACTCAAGTCCCCAGGAGGCAAAACCCTGGTTTAGGGGTCTAAGTGGCAAGCCTGGAATCTCAGCTGGCATTTCTGGACAGAGTCCCAAGTTGAACCTTTCCCTTGGCAGTAGAACCTGGCTTCACCAATAAATCCTTGGGGGAACAAAGCAACAGGATGGAACTGAAACCCAGGCCTGAGCTAGGTCCGTCCAAGGCAAGTGGGGGACGAGCTGAGATGAAAGAGCATCTTTATGGTCCTACACCAGGTTAATACCCCCTTGGGTAAGAAGAAAAATAGCCACCTTGTAATGAAATATTTACCATGTGTCCTGTACATATATTATCTCTGATCCAACACAAAAACAATCCTAGATAGGTATTACTCCCCAACTTTAGAGATAAGGAAATTTCAGCGAGGGTAATTTGAGCATCCAGAAATGCAAAAGGTAACTGTTTCCTTGGATCTCTGAAGGTCCACCTGTTCCCCACAGCCCAGATGTTTGAAAATGAATCTTCTTGGTTTTTTGTTCCACCATCCCCCCCCAGTGTTAGCATTGGAACAAACTCGAGGCTACAGTGCTGCTATCCGTTCTGGGAAGGGAAATCAGCCCTTTTCTGTTCTGGGAGCTGCCTTTACCCCCACTCTACTGAGATAGGGTGAAACAGCCAGGATCTCAGACTCTGAATATAGAGTTGGTGGAGGAGAGTTAGCTTGAGTTTGTGTGGTAGGGATACACCTTCCCTTGGCAAAAGGATACTTTGGGTGCAGTGGTGGAGAAGAGGCAAGAAAGCCAAAAGGGTCTATCTAGTGTACATATAGTTAATAGTGATTTTTTTGGAAAATGAAAAAGCTTCCCTGAATTCAGATATCTTTACCATATTTTCTTAGGACCAATGAACAAAAATGCTTATAAATTACGGGCAGCAAATACATCATTTACACCTTACATTAATTAACTCAAGTAGCTTGATTCTCCAACATCTACTTGAGATGGGGTTTTTGAGCTTTGGGGGGTAAGAGTTAAGAATGAGAGTAATATTGCATCTGAAGCAATCCACAGAAGGGGAGGCCTGGGTGATATGAGATCAAAGGTGTGAAGAAATGTAAGAAAGGGGGTGTTTAAATACCAGTTTTAGAGAATAGACATTGGAGTTATTATATTAATATCTGGTATTTAATCTTTTAACTTTGGGCAAATTAAATATACCCCCTCTAATCCTCAGTTTCCTTGTCAGCAAAATGGGGATGGCAGGAAAGCCTCCTTTGCTAGGTTGTTGGAGGACACAGACCATATATATATAAAATACAGGATCTAAAAAGATGATTCTCTACATCTCCCATCTCTCTCCTCCGAAGGCCTCCCCTCTGGCCTGGATTAGGTCATCCTCTGAGCCTCTGAGATTCCAGGGCTGTGCAGACATTTCAACAGATCTGACATCTTAGATGCCAGCAAAGACCTTGGGTGCAAGGAGAAGTAGGTGGAGAAAAGGGGCAAGGTAACCCTGTAGTACCTTTCATGCCTCTGAAGGAGTGGAAGGTAGGGTTGTCAAGTACTTTAGTGATCCAAACTAAACTTTGAGGAGCAGGACAAGTCTGCTGAGTAAAAACACCTCTGCTTTTAGATTTCACCACCTGCTGAGGGGCAAAGTCCTTCCAAACTTGAAGCACACATTGAGCACCAGAGGCCCCATGACCCTGGACAGGCTGGGGGAACGGTCCGCCATGCTGTGGACATTCAGTGTCTTGCTCTTTTGCATTCGTGAGTACAAGGAAGGGTTGAGGGGCAGGTGACCCTGTCACAGGTACCCCTATGGCTGGGAACTTTGAGAAGAGAGAAAGAAGAGAGTATTGAGAATTGAGGGTTGGTGGGGTCAACATGGGGGCCCTTTTTACCATTATCTCTCTTTTCAGGGCTGAATCTGGGTATAACATCAATAGGTAAGTGAATCCTGCCACCTCAGGTACCTTCCTTCCTGGAAGTTCCAAGACATCAGCTGCCTCCATGGCCCTGGATATAACTACCTTGAGACCACAAAGATAATTCCCAGATTGAGCTGGTTGGGGACCAGAATCCCTCACTTCATGACTTGGTTTCCCACAGAAAGTAAAAAACTTTAATTCAGGTGGAATGGAAGCCAGACTTGTGCTGTATTCCCCAACTCACTTGAATCCCTCAAACAAATATCCTAGGGGCCCTATCCCACCCCCCACACAAGCAGACACTCTTATTCCCAAGGGAAGACAAAAAGAAGAATCTGGGTCAGGGCTAATTTTAAGGAACATTGCAAGGCACGTTATGGGAGGGAGAGGGTTGGACTGCTCATATCTTTGTGATCTTTGGGTATGACAGTGGTGCAATCTCAACCGGAGCTATGGATAGAGACCAACTACCCCCAGGACCCTTGGGAGAACATCACACTTTGGTGCAAAAGCCCCTCTTGGATTTCAAGCAAGTTTCTGCTGCTGAAGGATAAGACACAAATGACTTGGATCCGCCTTTCCTCCAAGACCTTCCAAGTTTCATTCCCTATAGGTGCCCTTACTAAGTCCAATGCAGGTCTCTACAGGTGCTGCTACTGGAAGGAGACAGGCTGGTCAGAGCCCAGTAAAGTTTTAGAGTTGGAGGTACCAGGTAAGAAGACAGTAATAGATAATCAAGAATAAACTCCAGCTCCTGAAATTCAAATCTTCCCAGAGCAATATTTGTTTAATTCATTAATTCATTCATTCATTTACTTTAAATGCATGAATGTATACATGCAAGCATTCCACAGTTAGTAAGTGCCTACTCTCTATTGGCAATGCAGATGAGGATGCAGTCTCTGGAACAGATCTAGAGAGCAAGTTCTCAACATAGGGGAGACCCCAGATAGGGGGAAGGAAGGGTGGTAAATAAGGATTATTCAGAGAACACTCATTTAAGTAGCGCTCTCCTCTCCTGCCCACTGAGCAGTGCTGTCCTTGCTGTACCTGAATTCCAGTTCATTCTCTCCTTCCAGGCCAGCTGCCCAAGCCCATCTTCTGGATCCAGGCTGAGACCTCCCCTCTTCCTGGATGTAATGTTAACATACTCTGCCATGGCTGGCTGCAGGATTTGGTGTTCATGCTGTTCAAAGAGGGATATGCAGAGCCCGTGGATTACCAAATCCCAACTGGGACAGTGGCCATATTCTCCATTGCCAACATGACACCTGAAAGTGAAGGGGTTTACATGTGCCACACTCATATCCAGATGCTCCCCACTCTGTGGTCAGAGCCCAGCAACCCCCTGAAGCTGATAGTTGCAGGTGGGTGTGGCTATGGCTGCTGGGGTCTGATGATTGTTGTCCCCGGAATCATGGCTGGATGAACCAGGGTTTCTGATTTTCCTTTCTTTAGCCAGGTCCTAGGCCCTGCAAGGCCTGTAAGCTAGAGTCATTTGATATTTTCCTGAGATGCAAATTAGAATCACACATGCTACCAGGCAGATGTGTGGAAGCCAATCACCTAGGCTCACTCAGGCTAGTGAATGAGCCCAGTCAAATGTCCAGCAGCTTCAGCTCATCATAGCTCTGTCGTTCTCTACTTGTTGAATATCATGCTTTCATTCATTCATTTGACTAATATTTATTGAGCACTTACTATGTGCCAGGCACTGCCACTGCAGTCTTATAAACTGGTTTTTGCATTTTAATTGCATTTTATTGTATTTGTGATTATTATTTTTAAGCACAGAAAATAGAATTGTGCTAGTGTCAGTGGTAAACAAAAATTACAAAAAGTGATAGCTCGTATTTTAGAAATGACTTTATACAAATTACTTTAGTCTTGTGTATGTAGAACTAGTAAGACAGTATTAAGATCTAGACACAGCAGAAGTCTCCCCAAAATGTTCAAATGCCAGACACACACTCCCGCCCCAGTTTTCCCACCCTGTGGCCTGGATCCTTTAGAAATTTGCTTTAGTTCCTCCATCAGTCTAAACAGGTGCCACAGAAGATAACCTGGACTTAAAAGCAGTAATCTTGGTTTCTAGTTCCACCTCTGATACCTCTTTCCTGTGTGATCTTAAGCAAGTCACTTCACCTCTCTGTGCTTCAGTTCCCCCCACCACTCTAAAATGGGATAACAGTATCTATACAACCTACTGTATGATGCCTCTCTGTGCCTCAGTTTCCCGATGTGCAAAATTGGTATAATAATAATGCCTACCTCACAGGGTTGTTGTGAGGATTTGCCTAAATATAATATATGTACAGTGCCTGGCATATACATTCTCAATAAATGGTAGATATTAATTTTATTAGTATAGCTTTTTATTGAGGATTGAATAACAAAAACTGTTTGAACAGTGTGTATGGATGTTTGTTGTATGAATGTCCTTCCTGAGTAGATTCCACTAACATACACTTCTGTGGTTAACTATTCACTGATATCCCTCACTTTGCTGATAGGGACTGTGTCTTCTTTACTTGTACATCCTTAGACCTACATGATGCCTGACACATCCTAAATGCTCAGTGAGCGTATGACAGGGCTGTTCTTTCCAATAACAGGTTGGTGGGTCTACCTGTGATTGCAGTGGGTAAGAAGGAATGGTATGAGAATAACTTTTCCCCTCTATTTTGTAGTATGATCCCCTTGGGGGAGCAATACATGGAAAAGAAGGTGTGACCCCATTGACAGAGATTTCTTTGGGTCAAAGACTTATTGGCCAATCCTTCATTGGCTTCTTCCAATCTCATGTTGGAAGTAAAGTCTTATGTGGGTTTAATGTGTTCAAAGGGCATTTTTTTTAATTTTTATTTTTATTTATTTTTTTAATTAATTAATTAATTAATTTTTTATAAACATATAATATATTTTTATCCCCAGGGGTACAGGTCTGTGAATCGCCAGGTTTACACACTTCACAGCACTCACCATAGCACATACCCTCCCCAATGTCCATAATCCCACCCCCCCAACCCCCCTCCCCCCATCAACCCTCAGTTTGTTTTGTGAGATTGAGTCACTTATGCTTTGTCTCCCTCCC